TCAGTGGGGAGGAAACCACCCAAGGTATGAAAAAAGAGACTTCTCCAGAGCCGAGCTTCACGTGGCTTTGGGTTTAAAAGACCCACTGAGTATCCAGCACAATTAATGAGAAAGAACCCAAACCAAAGTACATCTCATACCAACATTTTCAGAAAGAAGGTATCATTGAATCATTCAGAGACAAAAATTAGTCACGTGCAAAGTAAAAGAATCAAGTGCTCTTCAATCCTAATACGAGCAATGCTGAATGCGGGAAGGGACAATGCCTTCCAATTTCCAAGGGAGAGTGCGTTCAGTCAGCCTCAATGCCACAGCCAAAGCACTAGTCCATGGGCAGGAAAAAGACTTTTTTCAGTGATCCAAAAACCTACAGCTTACCTCCTCTGAACCCTTTCTTAGCAAACAATTTAAAGGCATCGCCTAACGCCTGTCATCCCAGCAGCTCAGGAGGCTGAAACAGGAGGATTGTGAGTTCAAAGCCTCAGCAACAGCAAGGCACTAAGCAACTCAATGAGACCCTGTCTCTAAATAAAATATAAAAAAGGTCTGGGGATGTGGCTCAGTGGTTGAGTGCCCCTGGTTTCAATCCCTAGTACCAGAAAATAATCATAATCATAATCATAATCATAATCATAATGGCATTGGGTTTAAGCAAAACAAAAGGAAATCCAGCAGGAAGGTAACACAGGGTTTAGGAACAAGTGAGTTCAGGGGATCCATGAAGAGCCGTGCTACATGGAGGCTGTGCTGCTACCCAGTGGGCAGACCAGCCCAGGAGCAGAGGCAGGGACTGCGGGAGAGACAGCCTTGGGGAGAAAGGACCATCTGCAGAGGGAAGGGACAATTGGAAACTCTACATAAAGGCACATTATGCAGGGGAGAGGGGCAACCTAAGGAAAACACTGAGAGCTACGCCAGACAGTCGTGGATCACGTGTGAAATGAAGTGGAATGTGCCAGCTGTCAGCATCAAAGCTAGGATGAGTTGTAAGGAAATGGACCTCAGTTGACCTCGGAGCCGGGCATGTATTCCTTGTACAAACGGCTCCTTTAGAATCAGCATGTCAAAAGGGTCTGGAAGATAAAATGCCAACAGATAATCTGTCCAAAACTTGAACAACTATCACATTGTTATAAAAGTGTACGTGTCTTTAATGGGTGTCAAATACTTGTTAATTTCTAAAAAAAAAAAAAAAAATCATAGAAGATCTGGTTGTGGATGGACAGAATGTAAATTTTAATGCCCTTAACTAGGTAAGAGCATGCTGATGGCAGACTAGATGGGAAGGGGAGAGAGGATGTGGATCTGGAATGTCTCCCAAAGGCTCATGTGTTGGAGGAATGCTCAGAGATGGGGTTTGAAGGAAGTGATTGGATATCGAGGGTTCGTATCTCATCAGTGGATTGATCCACTGATAGGTTCACAATTGAATGAACTATCGGAAGGTGGTGGAAAACTAGCCGGAGGAAGTGGGTTACTGGGGGCATGCTTAACTCCTTGCCCCCTTTCTCTGCTTCTCCACCACAATAAGGTGAACAACTTTGCCCCCAACCCCATCCTTCCTGCTGGGATATTCTGTCTCACCTCAGGCCATAATCTGAAACCTCTGCCACTGAACACAGGTGATAAGGAGAAGGGGTACTGATTGTGTATCATATAGAATCGAGATGAAGGGATACTGTCCATATTTGGTGGACTATGATACAGACGTTCAAGTATATTTTTGATAGTTACAATGGTCCTCAAATGATTTGAAAAATAATCAGTGACCAGTCATTCAGAGGAAAACAGTGAGGTAGCAGAGAGTCCTTCCTATGTTGGGGCCACCGGCCGTTTTCCAAGTTGAGGAATTGGGTTTTAGTTATTCTTCCGGCTTTTTGGGATTCCCTTCGGCAAGGGCCGGCGTTGGGGATTGCGTTTTTTTTTACCTTGTTGGGGTTGGGGTTAGGGGCGGGGTTAAAACCAAAAGGAAAAATTTTGCTTTAAAATTGGGGAAGGGTTGGGGTAGGAAGGACAATAGAATGAATCATACATGAGCCTATGATCATATACCACTACAAAATATGACTACAAAACCGGTGTGATCGTTCATCATATACAACCAGAAGAACCAGGAGTTATACTCCATTTATGTACCATGTGTCAGAAAACATTCTATTGTCATGTATAACTAATTAGAACAAAATAAACAATAAAATAAATTTAAAAAAAACAGAAAGGGAGCTGGGATTGTGGCTCAGTGGTAAAGAGTGCTCATCTAGCACGAGTGGGGCCGGGTTTGATCCTCAGCACCACATAAAAATAAAGGCATTGTGTTGTGTCCATCTACGCCTAAAAAATAAATGTTTTTTAAAAAACTAAAATTTTTTTTAAAAAATTTAAAAACCAGAAAGGATTAAATTATAAACTGTAATTGAAAACTTGCCAGCAATTGAGGAAGATTTCTGTGTCCCTTTTTACACACATAAACACTTGCACACTCACACACTTGCACACACACACCTGCTTTTCTCCACCTCCTAATACCTGCTCACTCTTAGTTTCCACTTCCTCCTGACTTCAGCTTGCCAGGCCCCCTTCCATGGTGCACCCAGCAGACAGGGAAGAGGTGAGACAGCCGTGCATACAGAGAGTTCATGAAGAGCTTCCTGTCAGAGGTGAGCCCGCAGGAAGGAAAGAGCAAGGAGGCCCAGAGGGAGGCAGGGAATGGCTAGAGAACCTCCGTGAGGCCTAGGCTGCAGGGGGGCTGTCCCCAGGGGCTGAGACCTTTGGAGAGGAATGAACCACCCACAACCATGCAGGAAGGAGCCAGGCTAGACAGACTTCCCCTCTTACCTCTCCTGTTCAAGAGCCATGGGGCCAGCCTCCCAGTCCAGTGGAGAGGGCCCAGGAGATCTGAAGGGATATGAGAGTGTCCAGCCCATCCCAGAACCTTGGCTTCTCCCTAAACCTCCCTCTGTGATCTCCCTCTCGTCTCTTGTGGTTCTTAATTCAGATTTCCAGCTGAGTGATTGATCAGGCAAGAGGTTAGCCTCCTTGGGTCGGCTGCCTGGTGTCATCAACTATATAGGACATGGTGGGGGAGGAGGGGCATGGAAACGAATTTCAAAACACCCTGCTTCGCTTGCTGGCTGGTCCGGTACACAGGCAAATAACACATAAATTAAGCAGTTGTGGTTGTCATATTGTGATTGGTTTGTCTCAGGGCTCAAATGATAACAGGGCCATCTGCTGAGTACCTTCAACCATCCAGGTGTGGTGATGTCACTCTGATATACATAGCTACCCTGTACACAGGCTGGTCTGTGTCCACAAGTTCCTGATGAGAGAGTCCTGCAGCAGAGATTAATCTGTGAGCCAGAGGATGAGCCGGAGGAACAGAAGAGGGAAGCTGGATTTCACCCAGGCCATCAATCTGTCTGAATGACGTCTCTGCCTCAACTCAGAGGAAGAAAATATATGGTGCCGAGGATCGAACCCAGGGCCTCCCACTTGCTGGGCGATCACTCTACCGCTGAGCCACAACCCCAGCCCAACATCATCTTTTTTAAGGGCTTATTTTTGGGGGAGAAATCTCTTCTCCATATCAGTGTTTCCAAGAGTAATATTACAGCAACATTATAGTTATCCAAAATATTGTCATTAAGGGAAACTGAGTTAAGGTTATCTGGATCTCACTATTTTCTTATAACTTCGTGTGAATTTACACTTATCTCAAAATAAAGTTAAATAAATATACTTAAAATATATAAATAAAAACAAACAAAAACATATGCTTAAAATTTGTCAAGAGGTCCGGCAGCTCAGGAGGCTGAGAGGCAAGAGGATGGCAAGTTCAAAGCCAGTCTCAGTAGTTTAGTGAGGCTCTAAGCAACTTAGCGGGATCCTGTCTAGAAATAAAAAAAATAAAAAGGGCTGGGGATGTGGCTCAGTGGTTAAGCACCCCTGGGTTTAACCCCTGGTACCAAAACAAAAAGCTTGTCAAGAAGGTAGACTTTACATATTCTTATCATACCCACACAAGATAATAATGATAAACGGACAGGCGGTGTGTGTGTGTGGGGGGGGAGGTTTGGGAGGTGGTGCGTATGTTGATGGTCTTGGTGGTGGTGATGGCTTCACAATGCCTATTTATCTCAGTGCTCATTGTGATACAAATTCTTATGGCTCTTTACATGTCAATTATACCCCAATAAAGTGTTTTTTTTTAAGTTAAGCAAATAGAATAGCAGCAGCATCAACTACCGCTCATTCATCTACTTAGCAAATATCTACTGAACACCACCTGCTTGCCAGATACTGTCATAGGGATACAGCAGAGACTAAAATACATAAAACCCTGCCTGCAGGGAGTTGGCAGTCTAATGGACGTTGGCTTGTCCAAGGCTTCATTCAGTCAGGTAGCTCAAAACTCAAGTTATTACATAAATGTTTATTATAGAAATGATAATGACAAAGTACCTACTTCCTCACTCCCCCAAATACAGCTGGTTAGATTTTCCTGGGCTACTTGACAAGACTCAATGTTTGTGAATACCAAGTTTTGTCCTAAATGACACATAAACGAGTCATTCTTTCTCTCCCTTCTAGTGTCCCTTGGTATCCATCAGGGATTGCTTCCAAATTCCCTTTGGAGAGCAGAATCTACAGATGCCCAATTCCCTTTTATAAAATGACATAGTAATTGCATATAACATCCTTCCAAATATTTAACTCATCTTAAGATTGCTTCTAATATCTAATGTGATGTAAATACTATATAAATAATTATTATAGTATATGTTTAGAGAAAAAAAATGACAATTTGAAAAGTCTTTACAGGTTCAGTTCAGATGCACTGTTTTTTTCGTGACCATTTCCTATCTTGGTTGGCTGAATCACAGATGTGAAACCCACCAAATATGTCCATTTGTACCTGCCAAATTTAAGCGAGTTCTCTATTTAGCACATGCTGGAAAAAATCTAACTCACTTCTCTTTTTGCACTCTTGCTTGCTCCAGGCTACAGGTAGTGTCCAAGGAGGAAGCATGTGGATGCAATTAGATGCCACAGAGATGATGGCCATGTAATTGACGAATGGCAAGTCATAACCAGAACACCCAAAGGAAACCCTTTCCTCGGGACCCTTTCAGCAACCTGGAGATCCACAGGCATCGAGGAAGAAGATGCAGCCAGTAGACAGAAACCGCCAGCCACCTGAGCGCTGAGGGGCACCCTTGCAGCCATTTCTGGGCAGGCTCCAAGTTTCTCTCCGCCATGGCCTGTAACAGCACGTCCACGGAGACCTACCAACACCTGCGGCTGAACGCGAGCAACGCGTCGGATGCCGAGGCCACCCCGCTGTCCGCCCCGCTCAGGATTTCGCTGGCGATCGTGATGATGCTGATGATGGTGGTCGGATGCCTGGGGAACACCGTGGTCTGCATCATCGTGTACCAGAGGCCCGCCATGCGCTCCGCCATCAACCTGTTGCTGGCCACACTGGCCTTCTCGGACATCATGCTGTCTTTATGCTGCATGCCCTTTACTGCTGTCACCCTCATCACCGTCCACTGGCACTTTGGGGACCATTTCTGCCGGCTCTCTGCGACGCTCTACTGGTTTTTTGTCCTGGAGGGCGTGGCCATCCTGCTCATCATTAGCGTGGACCGCTTTCTCATCATCGTCCAGCGGCAGGACAAGCTGAACCCACGCAGGGCCAAGGTGATCATCGCCGTCTCCTGGGTGCTGTCTTTCTGCATCTCGGTCCCCTCGTTCACGGGCTGGACGTTCGTGGAGGTGCCCGCGCGCGCTCCGCAGTGCGTGCTGGGCTACACCGAGTTCCCCGCTGACCGCGCCTACGTGGTGACGCTGGTGGTGGCCGTGTTCTTCGCGCCCTTCGGCGTCATGCTGTGCTCCTACCTGTGCATCCTCAACACGGTGCGGAAGAATGCCGTCCGTGTCCACAACCAGTCCGACAGCCTGGACCTGCGACAGCTGACCAGGGCTGGACTGAGGCGGCTCCAGCGGCAACAACAGGTCAGCGTGGACTTGAGCTTCAAAACCAAGGCCTTCACCACCATCCTGATCCTCTTCGTGGGCTTCTCCCTGTGCTGGCTGCCGCACTCGGTCTACAGCCTCCTCTCGGTGTTCAGCCGGCGTTTCTACTACAGCTCGTCCTTCTACACCACCAGCACCTGCATCCTGTGGCTCAGTTACCTCAAGTCCGTCTTTAACCCCATCGTGTACTGCTGGAGAATCAAAAAATTCCGGGAGGCCTGCTTAGAGTTGCTACCCCAAACTTTCCAAATCCTTCCCAAAGTGCCTGAGCGGATCCAAAGGAGAATCCAGCCTAGCAGAGTCTACGTGTTTAATGAAAACCAGTCTGCAGTGTAGCACAGCCCTGCGGAGCCAGGACCCGCACAGGTTCGGTCCAAGACCCAGTTCCGCTTCCTGGCATTTCAGTCCCCCTCCTTCGCTGGTGACCATTTAAGCACAAAGGCACTCATTTGTTGCCAGATGAGCTGCAGCTCCCAAATTTCAAATTTCAGCCAGGAGAGTTCTTTTTGTTTCTCATGGTTGAAGAATCCTATGTGGTTCTGGTGGGAAGGGTGAGATAGTCAAGGCAAATGGGGAGTGGGTGGGGGGAGTGTGGGAGTTGGGCAGGAATCGAGAAGAGAAGGGGGACAGCAGAGGGAGCCAGGCAGGAGCAGGATCTGTCTGGGAGCTCAGTTCTGCTGTTTGAGCCCCCTGGACCCCTGCCTAAGAGCAACACCATCATGCCAGATTGTGGGTGGCGTGAGAAGTCCACGTAGGGGTCATTCCATGCGTTACCATTCACTCCACTGAGGCAGTGTTCTTCAGGGTTAGTTACCTTTGTGGGTGGAGGGAACCGCAGGAGGCTCTTTGTGTTGTTCAGGTGTGCATTTTTCACCATGCCACGTCATCCTTTCCAGAAAGAAATGGAAAACCACTGGGATTCAAAGGAAACCATGCACTCTTTGAGTTTCCTGGTATGACATGGAGGTTCTCAGTTCAGAGGATGCTCTTGGGCAGTTCAGTTGAAAGGAGACGCCCACCTGGGCACTCATGCCCACCTCCCCACCACACCTGGTCTGCCTGGTCATCCCTCCCCTCCTCCCCTCTCCCTCATGGTCCCTCCCACTCTCCCTTTATTTTCATCCTTCCCAGTGCTGGAAAAAAAAAATGCCTATAATCCATCCATGGAGCAAGTATTTGTACTGACTTGCTTTCAGAATCTGGGGGCTTTGTTTACATGTTTCCCCTGGACACTCCAGGGCTCCAGAGCCTTTGGGAGGCTCCAGATGCATTCTAATGCTAGAACTGTTGCAGAATAAACAAACCCAACAAACTGGGCATCCCCCTTGACCTCTGTTCCTCCTACCTCATTCACATCCACTGCTGCTGTCAGACCCACCTGCCAGGGCTGGATCTGGGAGTCTCGAGGGGATCTTTCTTGCACTGTATACTTGGCCACTATGCCCACAGGCCCCCATCCCCACAAGGAGCTTCCAATGTGGAGAGAGGGGAATTCCCTGAGTTCAGGGACAGCATGGGGTCCTTTGAGCTCTCTTGAGTGCATCAGATCTGAAGACAGTGAGGAATATAAGGAGAAGTTCAGAAAGTCTGATTCCAGATTTTACTATCAGGGACTAGTCAGGTGACTGTGTTCATCTCACCTCCTTCTATAAGCCTCGGTTTCCCCATTTTCCAAGTGAAGATGTGGGTCTAGATGACCTCAGACTCTTGGATTCTAAAATGGGTGTTTTTAAACCTACAACCCCAGGTCTCCTGCATTCACTTATTCATCCATGCAATGAGCATTTATTAAGTGCCTACTGGATGTGAGGCACTATGGGGGAGCTAGTAATGAATGAGGCATGGGCCATATCCAAAAGCAGTGATCTGATTGATCTCAGGAGAGTAGTGACTCGGCCTAAGAACAGACACTCCATTTTCGCTTCATTTCTTTCTTTCCAAGTTGTATTCAGAGTCCAGCTTCCTACTCCCGCATTCTTCCTATGTTAGTGGTGATAGAGGGCAGGGAAAGAAGGGGAATGAAGAGGAAAATAAAACTTACATTAATCTCAGCCCAGGGGAGGGTTTGTCAAGAAAATAACTGACACCTATTCCAACCACCCAAGATGGCGGGAGAGACATACAGGCAATGGGCTTGTGGATAAGTAAGCATGGTTCCATCAATCCTGTGTTCCCAGTGCCCCCCACAAGGGCAGGGTGTGTCTTCAGCTCCCAAGGGGTAGGATTTTAGTGGCTAAGAGCACAGCCAGTCCACCAAGGGGACCAAGCCTATAGGTAGATACTTCCTGTCTGGTGGATTTTTCCAGAGAATTTTCTTCAGGAGCCTTGAGCAAAAGAGAAATGGCAAAACGGAATGAACGAAGGTACCAAAATTTATATCAATCCACACGATATGATGTATGTTGAAAGTAATATTTATGTTTCAAAGTAATAATTTTGTATATATTTTAAATAAAGTGTTATTGCTCTTTCAGTGTATAAGACCATGTTCTTACCAAAATGTGCGCCAAGACCATGAGTAGTAAGCCCAGGATCCAATGCCCAATACCCGTTTATCAGTCTGTTCAGGTTGCTCTAACAAAACTGGGTAATTTATCAACTAGAGAAATTTATTTTTTATAATTTTGGAAGCTGGAAAGTCTAAAATTAAGGCAGCAGCAGATTTGGTGTCTGGTGAGGGCTCACCCTCTGGTTCATAGATGGGACTCTGTTGTGTCTTCACATGGCAGAAGGGGAAGAGTATCTCCCTCAAGTCCCTCTTACGAGGACACTAGTCCCATTCACGAGGGGGGAGCCCTCACACCTAATCACCTTCCCAGGGCTCCATCTCTTAGCACTATCTCGATGGTGACATATGAGCATTCTGGCTCTTGCAACTCTTAAGGAAAAAAAAAAAAAAAAAGAAAAAGGATTCCAAGAAGTCTAGAGCCTTCTGGGAACAGTAAAGAAGGATGTCACACAAGATGACAACCCGAGACCATTGGAGCCACAGGAGGCACAAAGAGGTGCTCACACCCCTTTTATCTTTATCAAGAGCCTGCTGAACCAGACTTCAATCAGTCAGTCTTCAACACTCACTCCACAGTGAGTTGGCCACTCCACAGTGCTCTCTGGACTCCCTGAGTCTTTCCTGAACTTCGATCTCCTGAGATAACTGGTCTCCTTGACCGAGGCTGGCAGGACAAGATCTGCTTCACTGTTTCAACGATTCACTTATTTTTCTTCTTTGTTTTATCCTGTGGTTCACACTAACCCTGGGATCTGTGTCAAGTTAGAGAAGCTTCACGCCTAAATTGTCTCTGAGGGGCTTTGAGGGAGAGAGAGACCTGCCAACTACAATAATAAGCAATTCCCCACCCTCAGTCGGTGCCAAGGCCTCTTGGAAGAACCTTAGAAATGAGACAAATACAGTAGTTCCCTGTAGAGGCCCTGAACCGTCTCCACAGATATTAAAATCTGGAGATGCTCAGTCCCTTATGTAAAATGATGTGCACACCCCCCTACAAACTTTAAATCATCTCTAGGTGGCTTATAATACCAAGACAAGGTAAATGCTCTGTAAATCATCACTACACTGTGTTGTTCAGAGAATGAAGACAAGAGGGGAAGCTCTGTACCTGTTCAGTACACAGGAATTTCTTTTTCTGAATATTTCCCTTTGTGGTTGGTTGAACCCGTGGACACAGAACCTGAGAGTGAGAGGAACCAACTGGGAATCTCAGAAGTGTTATCCTAATTGTAACTACCCCTGCAAATCTGCCACCTTTTCATCTTGAATCATGGTCTTTTTAGGCAGGGTGAAATAAAAGCAAAGTTTCCCTAGACAGCCAAGATGGACCAAGAAGTCTAGACCCAGCCCTGCTTTGCTATTCTGAGCCCAGGCTGTGCCTCCCCCCTACACAGCTTGCTACTCTGAGTAGTCTCAATGCCATCTGCTCCCCTTCTCAGGCAGTCCCTGGCTAGCCTCCCTGGTCCCTAGCAGTCCTGCCGTTGTGGGGGAGCCCAGCACTCAGGTCTTAGATCCCAGGGAAACGGATGTGGTGGAAACAAGTGCTCTGAAGGGACAACCGAACCCCAGGGCTGCTTCAAGTCTGCACCCCACCTTCCTGGTCTTTGAAATGGTAGGAATCCTCCCAGACAGGGGCCAGAGTGGAGAATCAGCACAGGCTGGAGGTGTAGCTCCACGGCACGGTGCTAGCTTAGCACGTGCAAGGCACTGGGTTTGATCCTCAGTACTGCAGGGGAAAGGAAAAGGGAAAGGAAGTGAAATAATGTGCGGTCCACGGTAGATGCTGAAATTCACAGGCGGTAATTTCTCCAGGTGTACTACCCACCTGCTTCATGGTTGAGGGTTTTTTTCTTTTTGAGGGGGTAAGGGTGAAAGAGTCTGTATCAGAAACAGGTTGTTGAGTTCTTCTGAAGTGGGGGGCAGGGGAGACAAAGCAAATCATTCTGTGGTTAGGGTGTCCTCTGACTCAGTTCTGACACTGTCCACCTGGAGACAGTGTCAGATCCCGCAGGTTAAGTGCTTCGTCCACAGGACTGGCCTGACTTCAGAGGTCAGTGGCAAGTAATAGGCTGTCACCTGAAGAGCTATCAATTGGAGATTCCCGTGACTCCCTGCTTGGGTTTGATTAATTTGCTAGATCTCACAGAACTCAGCGGAACACTTCACTTTCTTTCACCCATTTATTTTAAAGAATATGACAAAGAATACAGATGAGCGGCCAGATGGGAGAGATGCGGAGGGCAGGACATGCGGGAAGGAGCTTCTGTGCCCCCTCCAGAGGTGCCAGCCTGCAGGGTTGGGTGGGCCCCTGGGAGGAGGAAGGCCATATGCACCCGTCCTTGGGGTGTTTATGGAGGCTTCGTTGGATGCATGATGGATGACAACACTGGTCACTGGTGGCCAGTCTCCCCTCTCCAGAGGTGAAAGGGTCTGGCTGAAAGTCTCACCCCTGAAATCATGCCATGGTCTTTCTGGTGAGCAGCCCTGCTCCTGAAGCTGCCCAGAGGGCCCAGCTGCAAGTCATCTCATCAGGTACAGAAATCCCCCTCTGTGCTTTTGCTTTTATAATTCTGTCAAAATGAATCCTACTGTCATGCGTAACTCAAAAGAGCCAACTAAAAAAAGCCCTCTTGTTGCTCTGGCAGTTCCCAGAGTTTTAGGAACTCTGTGTCTGGAACCAAGGATAGAGACCAAGTTTAGATTTGTTATGTCTCAATATCACGGTCCCTTTCCTCAACCTCAGGTGGCCTGAGGATTTCACAGCGTCCAGGTGACAAGAACACAACATCTACTGAAGCCAGAATTGTGGACTGGACTTTTAATGGTCTAGATTTGAGGTGTCCCCCCAAAGCTCATGCGTGGGACAATGCGAGGAAGTTCAGAGATGAAATGGTTGGGTTATGAGAGCTTTAACTGAATCAGTACATTAATCCCCCCATAGAGATGAAACCAAGTGGCAAATGTAGGCAGGTAGGCTGTCACTGGAGGAGGTGGGTCCCTGGGGCATACCTTTGGGGTATACATATTTTGCCCCGGTGAGCAGGTTTCTCTCTGCTTCCTGGTACTATGTCCTGAGATGCTTTCCTCTGCCACACTCCTCTGCCATGATGTTCTGCCTCACCTCCAGCCCAGAGCAATGGAGTTGGCCGTCTATGAATTGAGACTTCTGACTTCCAAAACCATAAGCACCCAAACTTACTTTTCCTTCTCTAATGGTTCTTTCGATCACAGCAGTGAAAAGGTGACTAAAACAAAGGGCAGGATTTTGCTCAACATCTTTAACCGCCCCACGTCACTCCATGCAAAATGCTCTTGAACTATGAGCAGGCCCCACGGGGCTGATGAGATGAATGGGCGGAGGGAAGACTGCAACCCCAATCCCACGCCTGCCCCTGCCTGCTCTTCTTCAGGCTGTTCCGAGGTCCACAGCATATTTGAGAACACAGGGAGGCGGGAGGGAGGTTTCAGGGGTGGTCGCTGAGAGGGTAAATGCATAACAAAGTGAGCCAACAACAAAGTGACCTTGAGCACACAGGAACAGTGAAGGTCCGGGGCAGCTGGCCAGGTTCTCTGCTCTTGGTGGTTGTGCAAGACTTGGGCTCCTTTCATCTAGTTTCCCACTATCCCCTGGGGCATCGTCTTCAGAGTCAGTTTAGATTACAGCCACCTCTGCATTCCAGCGCAGGACGGCACAGGCATGAAGAAGCCTGTGCAGAAAAAAATCACCACATGCTCCTGGTCATTTTTGGTCACATGACCTAGCTGCAAAAGAGACTGGGAACTGGAGACCCTGGTTGGGCTGTCATGTACCCAGTTACAGTTTCTTATCCTGGAAGAAGAGAAGGATTGGGTGGGCTCCCCGCGAAGTCTGTCAACACAGCATGTAATTTAAAAAACCAGAGAGGCCTGGCACAGTGGCGCACACCTATAATCCCAGTGGCTCAGGAGGCTGAGGCAGGAGGATTGGGAGTTAAAAGCCAGCCTCAGCAAAAGCAAGGCGCTAAGCAACTCAGTGAGACCCTGTCTCTAAATAAAATACGAAATAGGGCTGGGGATGTGGCTCAGTGGTTAAGAGCCCCTGAGTTCAATCCCAGTACCCCCTAAATAAATAAATAAGAGAACCTAGAACATATACAAATCCTGAAGTCCTAAGTACTAATTCCCAACTGATCCTTTATTCCTTCTTCAATAAGTATATCTCTATCTCCTCAAACAAAGATAGCTGCCTCCCTTTTACCCCTGGCCTACGTCTGTGGTGAGGAGAAACTTTTGCCCCATGAACTTTTTCAGACACAAAAGATGGAAGACATAAAAACCAATCTGTTTGAAAATTTGCCGACACCAGGGGATGAACTTTACAAAATCAGAAGAAAAATTACTATTAAAAGAACAAGAATCCTAGTGATTCGGGAGGCTGAGGCAGGAGAATCGTGAATTCAAAGCCAGCCTCAGCAATGGCAAGGTGCTAAGCAACTCATTGAGACCCTGTTTCCAAATGAAATACAAAAAATAGGGCTGGGGATGGGGCTCAGTGATTGAGTGCCCCTGAGTTCAATACCCAGTACCCACCTCCCCTCCCAAGAAAACAGTAAGCAAACAACACAGGTCAACTTTGCCCAAGAATTTGCTTATGTTAAAGGAAAGAGTAATTTCAGTCTCAGCTACTGAACAGTGGAGACTGGTGGCCCATGGCAGCATGGAATGGAGCACAGGTCAGACCATGGTGATTTAAATATTTAAGAAAAGGGAGGGCTTGGGGGCCCTTGTTGGAAGGTTAGCATCTGGATTCTATATGAATAAAAAGATGTTTGAAAGCAAGAGCATCAGGCATGAGCCACACTCTGGGCAGGTATCCCAGGTTACTTTTGCAGAGAGTTCAGATTGCCTCCTGCTCTGTGCCCTGCATCCTGGAGGAGTCAAGAACAGGGTGTTTGGGAATAGGAGAGGTGACAGAGATTGCCTTGGTCCA